ATCAGGACAGCAGTGATGTGTAAACTTAATTTGGCAACAATACAGTAATTTACAGTAAAGTTATTGAATATTTTTCATAAAAATCATAAAAATGTGCATTTTCAATTGTATATTCAATTAAAATTGTCATTTTTCTCCAAAATAAGTGTTGTAGTATTACCAACAGGACATCAGTGGTGTGTGAACTGAATTTGGCAACAATACAGTAAATTACAGTAAAGTTATTGACTATTTTTCATAAAAATCATAAAAATGTACATTTTCAATTCTGTATTCAATTAAAATTTTCTTTTTTCTCCAAAATAAGTGTTGTAGTACAACCATCAGGACAGCAGTGATGTGTAAACTTAATTTGGCAACAATACAGTAATTTACAGTAAAGTTATTGAATATTTTTCATAAAAATCATAAAAATGTGCATTTTCAATTGTATATTCAATTAAAACTGTCATTTTTCTCCAAAATAAGTGTTGTAGTATTACCAACAGGACATCAGTGGTGTGTGAACTGAATTTGGCAACAATACAGTAAATTACAGTAAAGTTATTGAACATTTTTCATAAAAATCATAAAAATGTACATTTTCAATTGTGTATTCAATTAAAATTTTCTTTTTTCCCCAAAATAAGTGTTGTAGTACAACCATCAGGACAGCAGTGATGTGTAAACTTAATTTGGCAACAATACAGTAATTTACAGTAAAGTTATTGAATATTTTTCATAAAAATCATAAAAATGTGCATTTTCAATTGTATATTCAATTAAAATTGTCATTTTTCTCCAAAATAAGTGTTGTAGTATTACCAACAGGACATCAGTGGTGTGTGAACTGAATTTGGCAACAATACAGTAAATTACAGTAAAGTTATTGACTATTTTTCATAAAAATCATAAAAATGTACATTTTCAATTCTGTATTCAATTAAAATTTTCTTTTTCTCCAAAATAAGTGTTGTAGTACAACCATCAGGACAGCAGTGATGTGTAAACTTAATTTGGCAACAATACAGTAATTTACAGTAAAGTTATTGAATATTTTTCATAAAAATCATAAAAATGTGCATTTTCAATTGTATATTCAATTAAAACTGTCATTTTTCTCCAAAATAAGTGTTGTAGTATTACCAACAGGACATCAGTGGTGTGTGAACTGAATTTGGCAACAATACAGTAAATTACAGTAAAGTTATTGAACATTTTTCATAAAAATCATAAAAATGTACATTTTCAATTGTGTATTCAATTAAAATTGTTCTTTTTCTCCAAAATAAGTGTTGTAGTATAACTATCAGGACAGCAGTGATGTGTAAACTGAATTTGGCAACAATACACTAATTTACAGTAAAGTTATTGAATATTTTTCATAAAAACATAAATATTATACATTTACAATTGTATATTCAATTAAAATTGTACTTTTTCTCCAAAATAAGTGTTGTAGTATAACCATCAGGACATCAGTGGTGTGTGAACTGAATTTGGCAACAATACAGTAAATTACAGTAAAGTTATTGACTATTTTTCATAAAAATCATAAAAATGTAAATTTTCAATTGTGTATTCAATTAAAATTGTACTTTTTCTCCAAAATAAGTGTTGTAGTATAACCATCAGGACAGCAGTGATGTGTAAACTGAATTTGGCAACAATACACTAAATTACAGTAAAGTTATTGAATATTTTTCATAAAAACATAAATATTATACATTTACAATTGTATATTCAATTAAAATTGTACTTTTTCTCCAAAATAAGTGTTGTAGTATAACCATCAGGACATCAGCGGTGTGTGAACTGAATTTGACAACAATACAGTAAATTACACTAAAGTTATTGACTATTTTTCATAAAAATCATAAAAAATGTACATTTTCAATTGTATATTCAAATAAAATATTCTATTTTCTCCTAAATAAGTGCTGTAGTATAACCATCAGGACATCAGCGGTGTGTGAACTGAATTTGACAACAATACAGTAAATTACAGTAAAGTTATTGAATATTTTTCATAAAAATCATAAATTTTTTACATTTTCAATTGTATATTCAATTAAAATTTATTTTTTTTCTGCAGAATAAGTGTTGTAGTATAACCATAAGGACATCAGTGGTTTGTGAACTGAATTTGGCAACAATACAGCTAATTACAGTAAAGTTGTTGGATATTTTTTCATAAAAAATCATAACAATTTTACATTTTCATTAATGTTTATTCATTTACAATTTTCTTTTTTCTCCAAAATAAGTGTTGTAGTATAACCATCAGGACATCAGTGGTGTGTGAACTGAATTTGGCAACAATACAGCTAATTACAGTACAGTTATTGAATATTTTTTTCATAAGAATCATAAAAAATATACATTTTCAATTGTATGTTCAATTAAAATATTATTTTTTCTCCAAAATAAGTGTTGTAGTATAACCATCAGGACGTCAGTGGTGTGTGAACTGAATTTGGCAACAATACAGCTAATTACAGTAAGGTTATTAAATATTTTTGATAAAAATCATAAAAATTGTACATTTTCAATCAATTAAAATTTTCTTTTTTCTCCAAAATAAGTGTTGTAGTATAACCATCAGGACATCAGTGGTGTGTGAACTGAATTTGGCAACAATACAGCCAATTACAGTACAGTTATTGAATATTTTTCATAAAAACATAAATACTATACATTTACAATTCTATATTCAATTAAAGTTGTATTATTTCTCCAAAATAAGTGTTGTAGTAATTATTAGGACAGCAGTGATGTGTAAACTGAAACTGTAAACAAAGTTTTTGAATATTTTTAATAAAAATCATAAAATTATTCATTTTCAATAGTATATACAATTTAAAATGTATTTTTCTCTAAATGAGTATTGTAGTATAAACAACAGGGTAGCAGTGATGTGAAAATTGAATTTGGCAACAATGCAGTATATTATAGTGAAGTTATTGAATTTTTTTTTAATAAATATAAAAATTATGCAAAAATATTTTCTCCCCAAATTAAGTGTTGTAGTATAAACAATGGGACAGCAGTGATGTGTAAACTGAATTTGGTGACACTGTCGTGTGTGACAGTGAAGTTATTGACTGTTTTCGCAGTAAAGCTTTTCTGGTTTTGCACTTTGCAGACGGTCCCTTAGGATCTGTCTCTCGGCCGCCTGCGCATAGAGATCAATGTATTTTGTCCAATGCGAGGGAAAGCTCGTTTCGCGGAAAATTAGGTTGTAGCTGCTTATCTATGTTACTGCGATTAAAAAGAGGTGACATTTGTGCATTAACAACATTCAGCTGAGAAGTTATTGACCCGGGAAGTTCGAATCTGCGAATTTATTGCCAACTTTACTCAACTTTTACAGTTACTGATTTTTGCGCTCTTTAGCTACGGCAGTTAACCGTTTATGTCCGGCTGTCATTGCTGTTCTATCAGCAGCTGTTGCTTAAAGGGATACTCAACTTTTTTTGGAAATAGGCTCATTTTACAACTCCCCCAGAGTTAAACTGTTGAGTTTGACCTTTTTTTGAATCCATTCAGCCGATCTCCGGTTCTGGCAGTAGCACTTTTAGCATAGCTTAGCATACATGCACTAGACCATTAGCATTTCTCAGAAAAAAATTACCAAAGTGTTGATATTTTTTCTACTTAAAACTTGACTCTTCTGTTGTTACATCGTGCATTAAAACCGACGGAAAATGTAAAGTTGCGATTTTCTAGGCTGATATGACCATAGATGTATATAAAGGCTAGATGTGTTACGGCGGAGTTTCCATCGTCATCACCGGCGGCCATCTCGTCACAGACAAGCTGATGTAAGATGAGTGGTCAGCACGAACACAAATACTCTTATATCGTTGAAATCTTGACGGATTTACAAACGGTTTGGTTTCTTACAAACGTTATTAACGTGGCTATAATTATCTGGATTATTATTTATTTATACACTTTTTATTTATAAGTATGCAGTGTCATAACTACATCTCTGACGTTTATAACAAAACAAACCGTTTGAAAATCGGTATAAAATTGAGCAAGTTATGGTCATTTAAATAGTACATTCGCCAGCAGCCACATAACCCTGTAGCCCAAGACTGGTTGCCCATTAAAGCTAAGCAGGGCTGAGCCTGGTTAGTACCTGGATGGGAGACCTTCTGAGAAAGCCAGGTTGCTGCTGGAAGAGGTGTTAGTGAGGCCAGCAGGGGGTGCTCACCCTGTGGTCTGTGTGGGTCCTAACGCCCCAGGAAAGTGATGGGGACACTATGCTGTCAAAAGAGCACCGTCCTTCGGATGAGACGTTAAACCGAGGTCCTGACTCTCTGTCGTCATAAAAAATCCCAGGATGTCTTTTGAAAGAGTAGGGGTGTAACCCCGGCATCCTGGCCAAATTTGCCCAGTGGCCTCTGTCCATCATGGCCTCCTAATCATCCCCATATACACCAATTGGCTTCATCACTGTCTCCTCTCCACCAGTAAGCTGGTGTGTGGTGAGCGTTCTGGCGCAATATGGCTGCCGTCGCATCATCCAGGTGGATGCTGCACATTGGTGGTGGTTGAGGAGATCCCCCCTTCTATGTGAAGCGCTTTGAGTGTCCAGAAAAGCGCTATATAAATGTAACGAATTATTATTTATATTTATTTATTACATGCACCATTACCACAATGTTACGAGTGAGCGAGCTACCTGTGACAAGATGGCCGCCAGGTGCAGACGTCGATCTCCATTGGCCAGCAGCGTGGACGACACATCTAGCCTTTATATACATATCTATGGACATGACTAGGAACTATACTCTCATTCCTGCGTAATAATCAGGAAACTTCACTGTCGTACGATGAGTGCAGCAGGCGTAATGTTATGACGCAGCGCTCTATTGTGGAAAATAGTCCCCAGCTTCTAACGTGACCGGGACTAAGTTTGTGTATTCATTGCGCCTGCTGCACTCATGGTACGGCAGTGAAAAAAACATTTGATTGAACTTTTCAACAGAATTGAAGTGGCTTTCACTCACCAACATCTTTTATGTGAACCTCAGTCTCTCCTGAATCCTGCTGACTGTAAACTTTACATGTATATTCTCCTTTATCTTCAGCTCTCAGATTGTCCAGACGGAGGGAGAAGTTTCCATGTTGAATCTGATCAGTAAAGAAATGAGCTCTGTCCTGATAATCCTGCTGCTGGACCTCTGGTCGACTCTCACCTTCAAGAAATAGATGAACCAGAGTCTCTGAGTCTGCTCTTCTCCACTCCACCTCCAGACCCTTCACTGGTAAAGGTTTATCAGTATAACAGGGCAAAACCAGTGAAGATCCCAGAGGAGCAACCAGAGGAGCAGATGGACCTCGCAAAGTGAAGCCTATAGAGAAATAACAGAGAAACTGATCGCTTTAATAAATGAGAAAGAAAAACTCGAAGGCTATTTTCGCGTTTCAACGTAAAGTGAAAATACGTACCATCAGCGACTACCAGGAGTATTGCTACAACAACAATACACTTAATGTACATGGTTTACACAAAAAAGGAGCTATAATAAAATCATAATTATCATGAACAAGAGTTTTTGACTGCAGTCGTCCACACAATGCCTCGTCTTAACTTTCGCTTTCGCGTTTACTTTCGCTTTATTAAATTATGCGCGTGACGCATAAATTAATACGTTGCGTCACTTCTGTTGGCTCTTTAGCGGTTACAGCTGATATACCTGAACAATAACAACTAGCTTCCTACATCACACACACACAATAAATGGTAGGCTAATGAATGCGTTTTTAAAAGACAGCGAAGTATTGTTGTTTCTGAATGATCAGCTTTCAAAGACGTCGATATTTTATATACAAACAGGTAGATGAGCTGAGCGATATATATATATATATATATATATATATATGCCTATATACAAATCAATAACAGCAGATAAACTAAATTTAAAGTGAAAGTGTTAAGAGCCCAACTAAAGCAAACACTGATCGCCATAATTTGTGATTTTGTCCTTCAGTGATTCTGCTTGTTAACATCAGGTGTCTTCAATAATGCTCAATCATCACTAAATTATTCACTTAATTATCTCATTAACATTAACACTCTTGAGTGTTAATTTTTAACACTCATATCTGCATCATACCTTCCATCTGAAAGCAGGTGAAGGTGATTTATACTAATCAAGGAACTGGTTTTACTGACGAGATGCGCATAACATTTGATTTATTTTTGTTAAGGAAAATACAAATGACATGTATGTGAAATACGTATTTAATTACGTTTCAGTATTTTGCTATTTAAATACTGCCCATCTCTGAAAGCAGAAACAGGTACAACTTTTACACAGTGAAAAACCAAAGAAATTAAGGCGAGCCGAGCAGAGTCAAGTCGAGCTGGGGAAAAGCACCAATAGATTAAGGCAGGATTAGGCCCAAATTTAATTAGGACATTTAAGTAGCTTTAAATGTGCCTTAGAAAAACACACAGGCTACTGGTGCATCTTGAGACCGAACAATGGCACTGACCTATTTTAAGTATGTCAGTGCAAGTTGCTGTCAGTTAAAACAGCTCAAACATGCATTTTAGTGCGAGACTATCTAAAGAGTAGTCTGTGAACCCCGGGGGTATAACTGGATCGATTATTATCTTTCTATCATGTTACATGTTTGGCAACAGGTCTTCTAACCCTAATTGGGAGTGTGTAGTTTTTAATTTGTATTAGACACATCATGATCATATTCCAGAAGGACAATATCAAGATTCATCAGGCTCAGACTGTGAAAGAAGGTGTGAGGAGCATGAAGAATTATTTTCACACTAAATCGGCTCCTCATGAGTCCGGATCTTAAACTCATTGAAAGTCATTGAGAGTGCTGGACTCTAATTGCATCGTCAATACAAGATCTTTACCAAAAATGCACATCTTGATGGAAATAAAAACATGTATTTCCTTTCCTTATTTCGCAGAGAGATTTTTTTGTTTGTTAAGATGTGTTGACAATGCAACTATCTTGTCTTATGAATATTACGTAAAGTGATGATGTCTCTATGTGCTGACCAATCATATGGTCTGAATTGTTACTTTATAGATTTACCTACCCGATTACATTGCTATTGTAAATTTAGGAAAATAGTTATCAGCATGTGAAGAACTTACCAACACTTGTCCAAGAACCAGATTCACCAAAGAGAGCAGAGGTGATGTAGGTTTATTAATGTTTTTCCACTAGGGCTCAAAATATTGATTGAGGTTAATAAATCTGCATTGTATATTATTGTTAGATGACAACAGATCAATTAGATAAAACTAAATGACAATCTTCTAGATGAGCATGGGACGACTGAACACTTTTTTTTTTTCTCATAAATGATGAGCTTGAAGACTTCAATAGAAAGCATTCTCTGAACATTTATTATCGTATGACACACACACACACACAGACTAAATTCAGACACTTTACAAAATGATTTGTAATACATGAATGAATTTGACAAATCCAATTCTGCAACTTCAGTGTATAGCTGAATACAGTACCGTGAGACAATATCAAAATAAAAAGACAAACACAAGCAGATCCATTTTGATTTGAAAGTAAAAACAGCCTGTCCATAAAAGCTGATGCCTAATACTGGTGCAATAACCACATAAACATTTACAAAACATATTAAACTCCTTCATATTTAAAGGGCAAGTTCAGTAGTTTCTGCAAACACAGAAACCGAAATGTCTCAGGACAGCAGCATGTGTCCAAATTATAATCTTAACCGCTCTATTTCATCAGAAACGATCTTGAAACAGGGCTTTAAGTGTAAAATAGCGAACTTATCCTTCAACTAAATACTCAAAGATGAATACTCACATTTTTTAGAACAAAATACATTCGCAAAAGCGCTGTACTGAAATCTGGCTGTTCATGAAAAAATAACAAAAAAAAAAACTTTTTGTTTATAAGCATAATACTTAATACTGCAATGGTTTACTCTTGAAATGATTCAACAACCAGTATAAAACTGTCCTACAGTGCAACAGAAAACAACACATTTCAAAGTCTTCAGTCAAACTGAGTTGTTTTTTACCCCAGACGAACTTCTCTTTTACAGACGGAGAGGGAAGTCAGTCGCAGGAGAAACGTGGAAGAGTCCGATTCTCAATCACTGTGTGTGTGAAACAGCAGAATCAGGTGCGGACAGATTCTCCATTTCATGAGTCTCTGCTGAGTCCTGTGTTTAAAACAAGATATTGTTATTCAGCAACTACACATCTGAACTCTGAGAAGATGTCAAACCTTGCAGATTTCACACATAATTATTGCATTACCCTGAGCTGACGGCTGTGTCTTTGATGTGTGTTCTTTCGATTGTGTGTAAATCTGTGTTAGGAAACACAATTACAGATTTAACATTGATATATGCAGTTTAAGGTACTGTATACACACACAGGCCTACATGAGAGCAATATTGAATACAAATCTGAACTTACTCAGTTATAGAAACCTTCCCTGTGTGACAGGAGACATTAGAGAGAGAGAGAGAGAGAGAGAGAGAGAGAGAGAGAGAGAGAGAGAGAGAGAGAGAGAGAGAGAGAGAGAGAGAGAGAGAGAGAGAGAGAGTTGTTTCAAATGTTAATAATTAAGGGAAACGTAGAATCACAGTGTAAATCAGTCTCTGTAAGGAGTATGTGAATATTAGTCTCATTTTACCAGCACTGAACCTCCTTCATTTCAATAACGGTTTGAATCTGTTACAAATTATAGAAACTGGCAAATAAACCAGTGACCCATCAGACCCACTCCTGTTCACTGTCATATTAGGCTTGAGTCAAATATATAATACACTTGATTCTGCGACGACTGAACAGTTTGAGGTTATGAGCCATTACGTAGGCTACTTTTGATGACTGTAGCGCCACCATCAGGCCGATCGGAGCGAGTCTTGGTGACGCTGACGCTGTGAGAACCGCCATCCCTCAAAGTATCAAAGTTTCTGCCTGATCACTTTAGGAGAGAATGCTGATCATGGGAAATTTAGGTACTTGAACCCCTAATAACAATAATAAAATAATAAATAAAGATACTTACAGTAAGCGTGGATTAGTAAAATCAGCCAATACAAGGCAAAGACACATTCAGGAGGAAAGACGATGAGTCTCAGATCCTTTAAGACGCGCTCACCGTTACCTTTAAAATGATAGAATAACATTAGAGAAAGGAAGATGAACATCAGAAAGCAACACGGTGAAGCAGATTTTAGTAGTTTTTTTGTGTGTAATTAGATAAAACTGAGTAATGTTAAAAGATTTGTATAATATAATGTAATATTTTAGATATGTACTTACGTGCTTTGAGGATCAGTTCTGCTGCCAGTGTAACAGAGTTCAACAACACAAGACCAACTGCTCCAAACATGTACATGATGAACTTACAGAGATCCACTAGAACACACACACACACACACACACACACACACACACACACACACACAATCAATTAGTTGCATTAATTAAACTGAGCTCTTCTCAATGCAATATTAAAGAGCATAAATACAATACAGTATATTGTATTTATGCTAATTAGGTTATTATTATGATTATTTAATTTTAATTAGGATTCATTAAGATTCATCAGTGAGTAATTACATGTATTTGATCGTTGTTGGTTCGTCTCAGTCTGTTGTCGTCTCTGGTTTCCTGAATGTTCTGCCCGTGTTGAAACAAAACTGAAAACTGATTCAAAGCCAAAAGGATAAGAAGAGATCAATCAATCAATCAACCAACCAATCAAATGTATCAATCAATCAACCAATCAATTAATGTATCAATCAACCAATCAATCAGTCAATGTAACTTTTTCAGTGCTAATGTTTCACCGCGTGTCTTCAGTAAGGCTGCGTCCGAAATCGCGTACTATGTGAGTAGGTACTACATTTAAAAAAGAACGTACTTCGCGACCGTTAAAAAAGTACGTTCTATATAGTATGAATACGGGTAGTATGAATGAATTCCGGACGTACTACATGCGACATGTTGGAAATGTCACGTGTCATGCGCTGTCATAACAGCGCGGAAATTTAAATAGCCCACCTTTGCGCTGTTTTGCTTTGTTTTCATCTGCGTTTTTCCAGCTGGTCGTAGATCATGCCTTCATCGAGAGCTTTTGCGGATTTTCTCAAATAACGTAAGTAGCATTTATTTACCTACCTATTTATACATTTGTAAGCATGTGTTGTACCTGTTCCCTCTATGATTCATTCATTGATGTAATAATAGCACAAGCGGTGTCTGCTTGTCTGTGTGTGTGTGTGTATATATCATACAAGCTTGATAAAAACTATAATTCTAGAACAAAATTTAAGATGTCAATTTACATCTGAAGTCAAATATATATATATAATATTATATATATATATAATATATATATATATATAAATGAATGTTATATTTTATGGCAATAGGTTTTTTTCATTGCCATTACAGTGAAATAACTAAACACAAATATACAAGCCTGTTAAAATTATAATTCATTTAAACCACCACATCTGAAGTCAAATATAATGTTTTATATATATATATATATACACACACACACACACTTGACTTCAGATTTAAAGTGACATCTTACATTTTCGTCAAGAATTAGT